TACAAGAAGGATGTGGAAAAATTGGAAAGAGTCCAGTGGGGCTGGAGCACATGACTTATGAGGAGAGGCTGAGAGTACTTGGTTTGTTTAGTCTTAAGAAGAGAAGAATGAGGGGGGATTTGATAGCTGCTTTCACCTCCCTGAAAGGGGGTTCCAAAGAGGATGGAGCTCGGCTGTTCTCAGTGGTATCAGATGACAGAACAAGGAGTAATGGTCTCAAGTTGCGGTGGGGAAGTCCAGGTTGGATATCAGGAAAAACTATTTCACTAGGAGGGTGGTGAAACACTGGAATGCGTTACCTAGGGAGGTGGTGGAGTCTCCTTCCTTGGAGGTTTTTAAGGCCCGGCTTGACAAAGCCCTGGCTGGGATGATTTAGCTGGGAATTGGTCCTGCTTTGAGCAGGGGGTTGGACTAGATGACCTCTTGAGGTCCCTTCCAACTCTGATATTCTATGATTCTATGATTCTAGATCCATCCTCTTTGGAACCCCCTTTCAGGGAGGTGAAAGCAGCTATCAAATCCCCCCTCATTCTTCTCTTCTGCAGACTAAACAATCCCAGTTCCCTCAGCCTCTCCTCATAAGTCATGTGCTCCAGCCCCACTGGACTCTTTCCAATTTTTCCACATCCTTCTTGTAGTGTGGGGCCCAAAACTGGACACAGTACTCCAGATGAGGCCTCACCAATGCCGAATAGAGGAGAATGATCACGTCCCTCAATCTGCTGGCAATGCCCCTACTTATACAGCCCAAAATGGCGTTAGCCTTCTTGGCAACAAGGGCACACTGTTGACTCATATCCAACTTCTCGTCCACTGTAACCCCTAGGTCCTTTTCTGCAGAACTGCTGCCTAGCCACTTGGTCCCTAGTCTATACCAGTGCATGGGATTCTTCCGTCCTAAGTGCAGGACTCTGCACTTGTCTTTGTTGAACCTCATCAGATTTCTTTTGACCCAATCCTCTAATTTGTCTAGGTCCCTCTGTATCCTATTCCTACCTTCCAGTGTATCTACCACTCCTCCCAGTTTAGTGTCATCTGCAAACATAGCCAGCTTGACTAAAGTTAGAACAGTTCCACCTGCTCCAACCCACCGTGTATATCAGGAATCATAGAATATTAGGGTTGGAAGAGACCACAGGAGGTCATCTAGTCCAATCCCCTGCTCAAAGCAGGACACTACCACTACCAACTCCTTGATGGCCTGCTCCCACTCTCAAAAACACTAAGCAGATCATGGTGCAGGGGAGAATTTGGCCCAAACAATCAAAATGTCTGACAAATATCACCTTCCTACCCACTCTGTTTATTCTCCAGGTTACTGCTGCATACTTTAAACGAAGCCCTCAGTTTGGTCATGCAGAACAATGGGCAGAGGATGTAAGGCAACATAATCTAAGGCTCCGATCCACAGAGGTACTTAGGAGTTACAACACCTAACCCCTAGGCTGGCTAGTGCAGTGGTTCTCAAATATATTTGATAGGGCCTCCCTTCTTTGTGTCTGTAGTTGTTTACATGCTTCCCTCCCCCCCCCCCCCAACTCCCCCCTGTACATATACTGCCACCCTGCTCTGAAGGCAGAGCAGAGAGCAGTGGATGATGGCTGGGTGCCCAGCTCTGAAGGCAGCACTGCACCAGCAGCAGCACAGAAGTAAGGGTGGCAATGTGAAAAGTGATATTTGTCAATATCAGCAGACAATAGCAGACATAGCACCCCATTGCCAGCCTTACTTCTGCACTGCTGCTGCCACCAAGGGGCTGATAGCTGGAGTCCCACTGCCTCCGGCTGAGAGATTGGGGATGAGGGAAGGGGACCCCAAGCCCGGGTGGCAGGGCTCCAGCTGCTCCTTTATCCCTACCTCCCAGGTGTTCACAGCCCTTCTACACAAGCCCCAGGTACCCAGGGCTGACAGCCAGAGCTCTTCAACAACAACAACAAAAGCACACAGCTCGCACCTCCCTTGACACATGCCTGTGCCTCCCTGGAGGCCTGTCCCGTAGTTTGAGAATTGCTGCTCTAGTGGAGTCCTCAGTCTCGAGTTAGGTTCCCAAGCTCCCCAAACGACGGACAGGGAGAGTTATGTGCCTAAGGTAGGGAGCCTCAGAAGCCAGCATACCGGGCAGGGAGCAGCCTAAGCCACCCAGGAGTGAAATGCAGAGGAGAAGGGCAGGACTTAGGCCCAGAGCCTCAAGGGTTTTTAGGCCCCATACTGATAGGTCAGAGGTAGGCACTTTAGGCCAACTCCTCAGAGGTGTTTAGGTGCTTACCTCTCATTGATTTCAATGGGAGTTAGGCATCTAAATATCTTTGAGGATCTGGGCCATCCCTCCACTGTGAGCCCTCTCCTAAAGTTAGTCACCTAAGCAGATCAGCTGCTATGGCAGCCCATGTCCTGAAGTCCAAAACCCAGCTCTCCCTTTCAGGGGCAGGAGAAGAGAGAAGGAGCATACACAGGTGTACCCTGACTACCCAATAGCCTGCTTAGTAGGGCACATGGGATGTGGGAGGCCAAAGTTCAAATCCCTGCTCTGTCTTGTTTGCATCAGGGGGTTAAACCCACATAGCTGGTGAGTGCCATAACCACCAGGCTATTGGGTAGGCTTGGGAGGTTACTCTCAATCATTCCTATTGATGCTGTTCCACTTTTATAGAGTAGGGAGGTGAACCTGGCTCACTGACATGCTTTGTGAGTGCCCTACTCATTAGGCTGTGTTGTTGTTATTGCATTACTGTAGCACCTGAGGCGCCCTGGTCATGGACCAGGCACTGTATCAACAACACAAAGAAGGCTCCTGCCCCAGGAACAGTCTTTCTTTCAGTGTCCCAATGCATATTTAATTATGTACAGAAAGTGTAGCAGCTGCAACTGGAGAGAATGAGAGACACCTGTCTCAGAATATCCAGCAGCATGGTGGTTAGGCACTGATGTGGGCGACCTGCTCCAAATTGCTGCTCCAAATGAGGCAAAGAGAGATTTGAACTTGGGTCTCCCAGATCCTGCATGAGCTCCCTAACCAGCGGGGAAGACACACAAACACATCTGTAGAAAAATTCTTGACTTGCTCACACCTAGTTGTCTTTTTCTTAGGTCGTTAGTGTGCTCAGAGCACACCAATGGGAATGGGCTCCACTGGGGAGATAGACACTCCCCTGCCTAGTTTGGGAATCCTACTTTGGGGCCCCTAGGGCTCCAGCTGGAGCTTTGTCAGTGCTGCCTGGCAGAAACTTAGGGCATGTCTTCACTACTGGTAGCGCTACATCAGCGCTGCTGCATCAATGCAGCTGCACTGATATAGTTTGCCTGATGAAGATGCGCTATGTCGGCAGGAGAGCCCTCTCCTGGCAACGTAATTACTCAACCTCAACGAGAGGCGGAAGCTATGTTGGTGAGAGAGCATCTCCTGCTGACATAGCGTGGTGTGGACACCACTTTAAGTTGATGTAACTTACGTCACTCAAGAGGGTGGCTTTTTCACACCCCTGAGCAAGGAAGTTACATCGACTTTAGCAGTAGTGTAGACAAACTGTTAGACTGTGATGGTGCTGCCCGTGGGAGCCAGCTGAGGTCACTCAGGGTGAACTGCAAACAAAACGGGGCAGCCAAACCCCAGAAGCTGGTGGATATTCCAATACTTAGATTTACGAAGGCAGCACAAAACAGCTTCTATAGTACCTCACTGGTTACTTAGAAGTCCAAACAACGCAGTTCCCTTAAAGTACCCAGCCTCAGGCCTCCGTCCAGACACACATGTCAGATATGATGATGATTACTGAAAATCTTATCTCGTCATATAAAAGAAAAGGTTGGTCAAATCCCAAAGGATCAGCCACATACCCAGGTCCAATTATAACTTAGATCTTACCCAAAATACATGTTTATAGCCAATTCTTATTAACTAAGCTAAAATTTATTTAAAAAGGTAAGAGAGAGAGTTGGTTAAAAAAATCAGTATACATACAGACTTGAATTCAATTCTTGAGGTTCAGATACATAGTAGAGGTGAGCTTGTAGTTGCCAAAAGTCCTTTTAGATATAGTCCATAGGTTATAGTCCAATGTCCATATTCAGGGTGGCTCCAGTCAATGACTGGGGATCTCAATCCTTGTGGCTTAAGGTCTCCCCCTCTTGAAACCCAAAGCAGATCTGAGATGAAGTAGGATCGTGTCCTAAGGTTCTTATACATTTCCAGCAGCCTTTCGGTCTGAGAAAACAATAGGCTTAATAGCTCAGGGTAATTTATCCATTAAACAGTTCAGATATAGGTTACCACAACCTTCAAAGAGACATATAGACAATAATACTATTTCACTCAAGTATCTTTCCAAATGGTAGTACTCCTTTTTTGATCTTTGAATCAAAGCTATAGTAATAGACAAGACTTGTTTGCTTACATCACAAGACCTGAGCAAACATTTCCCCTTCTATCTCTAACAATGCAGACTTGCATTTCAAAGCTCTATTCATTTACATATCTTCCTCACCAGTCTTTAAAGTTGGGCCATAGGTCAAGTCAGTCTGTGAGTTAATTAACTCTTTCTGGCCCTGTCATTTTTCAATGAGCTATTATATTACACTCATAACGTCACATAGACACCTTGGTGTTTGGAGGCAACTGCACGGTGTTTTGAGAATGTCACAGTGATGCCTAAATTATGCCTAAAGATGCAGAAAGGAGCATAAATACCTTTGTGGATCTGGCATTAAATGTTTGAAATTCTAATCATGAGGTAGCTCTATCATCGCAGAGAGCAAATGAAGAATAAATATTATTTGTTGATAAAAAGCTAATAGGCCTGGAATAGGACTATATTGTTGTCAATAGGCTGATTTTAAAAGTTTTGTATGTATGAGCCTGACGTTTCAAACCCTCAGCCATAGAAGGACTCCTGGTCTTCGTCCAGCTTTTCATGCAGCCCATCTATACTTTTACACATTGTTATTTTTAAATCTTGTAACCAGGTGGCCCATCCAGAAGTTGCTGAGAGGGTAGCTGCCCCAGAAGAAGCTCCTTCCTTCTCCTCAGAAGAACGTGGTTTAAAAAAATCTCGAGATGTATTTGGTTTAGATTTCGGCATAACAACAGTTAAACAACAGCCCACAGCAGACTCTGAGGTAACTACAGTGCACGTGAAAAACAAAATACTGCAAACTAAATTCTACTCCAGTAGAGAGAGAACTAGGCCTTTCCATTTTCTCTTTTCAGCTTTTTCCTTCTTTCCTTGAAAACTAACTTGATCCATTTTGCTTCTCAGTTCTAAACAATGAATTTAGAAGCTTAAATGGCTTTTCTCTGCACATGTTTTAAATCACTGTAGTGAAACCATTGCAAACTCCTACATGGATGCTCTCAATTGAATTTAACCCTGATTTATATTGGTTCACTTTAAATACTTAAAGCATTAACTTCAGCTAAATGATGTAAACTAGGTTTAAATCAAATAAACCCTGATTTATATTGGTTCACTTTAAATACTTAAGACATTAACTTCAGCTAAATGATGTAAACTAGGCTTAAATCAAATTAAGTGCCTCCACCTGGAGATTTGAACAGGTTTAACTACATTGATTTTAACACGCATGGATGCTCTACCTTTCAACCCATCGAATTCAAATGTGGGGATTGTTGTATTAATTTAGATGGACTAAATGGGCTAAAAGTGTTAACATAATCCAGTTACTGTGTAACATTAAATAGTGTTAAACAAGGTCTGGGGTTTGGCATATAGAGACTTCAGCCTGCTCAGGCAAACATACTATTAAACCTTTTAACCTTTTATTAAAGTTACAGAAAAGAAGGAAAAACAGTTAAAGCCTTTGAACTGTAAAGTATTAAGTAAGGCTTTTATTTTAACAACATCTGCTGTTCCCTTTCCCTTTAGCTGGAGACTGTTTTAGAAGAAATCCTCCCCCTTGCCCCACCCGCTGCCCCATTTGACAGTCTCAAAGATGGTAATTGTCATCGCAGGAGGTGTTTGGGATTCAACTGGAGCCAGTAGGGGTAGTGATGTCATCTAGGTCCCCCTCTCTCTGGCCTCTTCTGGTCAGGACACCTCTCAGGATCAGGAAGGTGAAGGCCCAAGGTCCCAGGAAACAATGGGGGTGGCAGCCATGATGGTGAACCTTGCTCCAGTAGCCTCTGTCTGTCCTTCCTTTTTGTTCTTTCATACTTTCTTCACAACACCTTTTTTTAAGGACCCATAAAGGGAGTGAAATACACCGCCCTCCCCCGATTATTTTGTCCACCAATTACCTCATATATCTTACATACCAATTTTGGCTCATTAACTTCTAGCTCTATGTCCTTTTATTTTTATAAGCATAATTTTAAAACAGTCTTTGAATCTTATTAATTTGGCTTCTTTGTTTAGACCAATTTAGTTATTTTGTTTCTTTTTTGTACTTTTTTCCATCAACATTTGTTGTTATAGTTTATTATAACATCTTTTGAATGTTTACATTCTTTTTATAGTTGTCACAACATGACTGTAATCTCAACTGCGTGGATGGCTCATGGAGAGAGAGGCTATATTGAATGTAGGCAGAACCGAAATCTGTACAGGGCTTTATACATCAAATCAGTACCTTGATCAGCACCATGGAGAGAATTGGTAACTAGTATAGTCTAGACAGCACATGTGAAGTTTGTTCTGTTCACAAGAAGCACCCAAAAGTAAAAGCATTGCTGCATTCTACAGTAGCTGAATTATGCAGATGTTCAGGGTAGCCACAACAGGGTATAGCTATAATCCATCCTGGAGATAAAAAGGCAAAGATGACTGTGGAAGTCTGCATCTGAGAGCAAAAGTCACAACCAAGAGCTAAAGGAACTCCAGATTGTAAATCTGATTGACATTAAGCAGGCAAACAACTTCAACAGATGGAGCAAGGATTACAGCAGCTATCTCCTCTAGAGGGTTCTCCTGAACTACCAAGATCAATGTGCTGTACCTGGATGGAACTTCAGTCACTGTTTCATCCATATCCCTATCTCGGTCAGGCTCAGGCACTAAGTGAGGAAGATCACACTGATTAGATTGGGTGAAAATGAGACCTAGAGCTGACAGGTGCCACCATGCTGATGGTGCTGCAACTTCACATATCAGCCCTCTGTGCACTTTGAATGAGAGGAGTGACAATAGAACCTTGCAATATCCCACACAGGAGGGCCATTGAGGTGGATGAACAGTCAAGAAAACTACCCTCTGGGATTTTCCTAGAGGAAAGATGGAGTCATTCAAATGGGATTCCATTCATCATGGTCAGATCAAGTCAACAACATTCCAAACATTCCATGGCTAATGGTACCAAAGGCTGCTGACAGATCTGATAGGAGATCATCTGCCAACAAGGCGAATGTGTTTTCTGTGCCATTGCACACAAAATATTATGCTAATAGGATTTTACTGAGCTGCAAAATCAAAACTCAAAAGTTTGGAGATGCCAGAATTAATGTTGCCCATATTTGTGCATATGCATTATGATACAGTCTTTAATTATGTGATGAAATAATATTTTTTCCACAGTATATGAAACAGAGCATGCATAATTCATTAGTAATCTCTCTGGAGTCCGCTGTCCGTGATCATTATAACAGTCTTACCATGGAGTCACAGGCAGTCCCCTTAGACTCTCCCGGCTATCTTGCCTCCCAGACAAACTGGACTTAGTGATAACATTTACACCAAAATCATGCCATATGCACATTGCTTACAGTCCCAACAGACCAGTCACTTACCCTAAATCAGTTGGTACCCTAGATCAATTGGTACCCTAGATCTTACACCAAAGACCACATCTGTGGCCAATCCTGTAATAAACTATCTGTTTTTTTACAGGTTAAAGCAAGCTAACATATACACACAAATGAGTTACCATCTAAATCCTAAGAAGGGCAACAGAGTTGTTTTGATCTGTCAATTCAAAGTGTCTTTCAGGGCAGACTCATGAGGTAACCCTTGGAGAACTCCGTCTTCATTTTGGTTTCTCTGGCCCTGTAAGAGTTCAAACAGCAAATAGATGAAAAATCTTCACATCAACAATTTTTATTTCCTCTTCCAGCATTCAGATGGATGAGACCAGGCCTTTTGCACATACTTCTCCATGGGTAGATAGGGCAGTTAACAAAGCTTTTGTCTTATAATGGCTCACTTAAATTTTGATAGTCCTTCTGGATGGATTGGCGGACGATTCCCATGCCTGGGTTCACAAGTTCAGAGCAAACATTTTCAAAGTTATAAAGCAAAACTTACATATTTTCTTATAGCATGCAATACAGACATAGCAAATGAGATTAATGCATGCAGCAACGTAGAAGCATTTCCTAGAGTCTAAACACGAAATACATTCTTATAAGACTAACACCTGTTTTGAGCAAAATTAACATACAGGTAAATGGGTCTGGTCTCCAGTTATGAATTTGTCAGTTCTTAGCTCATGCCTGCAATTTTGGCAAGAGCTGGCACCTGGTTATACTGCTGCTTATCACTGTAGTATCTGAGCCCAATTCTCATGGTAGGACCTGGCAGAGTCTTTCTAAGAGGGGTTGGTGCAGAATGGAGAGCAGAGTTCTATTCCCAGCTTGTGTAAACTATAAAGCCTTTTTCAATAAGAAGGGTTGTGAAAGGCACAAAGTTATTAACATCAGTTAATAGAAGAAGTGAATATAGAACAGATGGTTTCCAGTTCCCAGGGTAGTGCATCATTTCCTGTTCTAAGGGTGGGTGGTAGCAGCAGGAGGATGAAGATCTGTTTGTGGATGTTCTGGGAGTTAGGTGCCCCAGCACCTGTGTTCCTTGTAAGCTGTGCGCTTGGGTGGCGGTGCAGGAGAGGTTCAAGTGCCGCCCAGCTGATTAGCAGAGGATGCACACCCAGCAGCATATATTCAGGTGCCCCTCCCACAATGTTGCTCCGTCCTGCAGCTACTCCCGGGACCCTCCTTATGTCTGTGCAGAGCGGGGCGGGGGGGGGAGGAGGGTGCTGATGTCAGGGTGTCCCCCTCCCCCTGTACCCTGTCTCCGCAGAGCAGAGCAGAGGGGACAGCCTGGCTCACGAGGACTCGGAGATGCTGCAGTCTGAGGTCTGAATGGTGAGTGGCTGAGTGCCTTTCTTAAAGAGAGAGTGCACTGTTTCTGTCCAAGCTGAACAGTTCCCTGCCTTCACTGTGTCTGCCCTGAAAGACAGGGTCTGCCCTGAATACACAGCAAAAGATAGGCTGCCTAAGCAAGCTTCTCTGGCCTTCTTTTCAGAGACTAATAACAGAGTGATTGCCAAAGAAAAGAAATCCCTTTTGTGGTCACAAGTTCATAATAGCCTCAGCTCAGATCTAGCATCAGTCCATGGGGCTTCAGTAGGACAATTCCTTATTGGCTGGGGTTCAGCTTTCTTTTTTTTTTAATTTTCAGACAGAGTTTGCTGGAAAATAATAGTTCAGAGTCCAGTTTGCAGGCAATTTGATGGGTTTATTGGGGCTAAACAAGCAAACATATTTTGAAGCCCTTTACCCCAGTTGGGCTTATTTTTATATGCTGATAGAGTTTAACTGTGTTCTGAAGCACTTTACACCAGTTGGACTATTTCTATGCACCAATAGAGGGTTTTTTCCCCTCCCCCAACTACTGTTTTATACGCTGATAGAACCTGCACCTTCTCCTAATCTCTAGCTCTGCACGCCGACGCACTCCCTTCCCGTTTTTGGCAAACTTAATTATACTTGTAGTTCCCCTTCCCTGGTACCACCCCTTCCAATATATGGTCATGTTTTGTTTTCGGGGGTCATAGACTTTAAGGTTAGAAGGGACCATTATGATCATCTAGTCTGACCTCCTGCGCAACGCAGGCCACAGAATCTCACCCACCCACTCCTGTAACACACCCCTAATCTATGTCTGAGTTATTGAAGTCCTCAAATCATGGTTTAAAGACCTCAAGATGCAGAGAATCCTCCAGCAAGTGACCCGTGCCCCACGCTGCAGAGGAAGTTAAAAACCTCCAGGGCCTCTGCCAATCTGCCCTGGAGGAAAATTCCTTCCCGACCCCAAATATGACGATCAGTTAAACCCTGAGCATGTGGGCAAGACTCACCAGCCAGCACCCAGGAAAGAATTCTCTGTAGT